CCCACACTGACCTTGACAGGAGGGGGCCCACACTGACCTTGACAGGAGGGGGCCCACACTGACCTTGACAGGAGGGGGCCCACACTGACCTTGAAGTGGAGTTGAAATTAAGACAGACAATCTATCTCTATGTCTCCTGAAATGTGGGTGCTCAGCAGAGCTAGCACCCCACTGTGTTTTTATGGACTAATGAGGAATCTGGCCCTGGCCCCCTCTTTACCCAGGGAGTACATCACTCCCTACATGCACAATTCTGAAGTGAACAGCAGATCCATCATTTCGTTTCTCTTTGGCAACAGTTCTCAGCAAAGCTTGGCAGAGATGGAGAAAAGAGTGGCTCAGGGGAGTGTGGGGGACTTCAGAGGAGATTGTGAGCCGCCCCCCCCCCCCAGCTACATAGCAGTTGCAGCAGCTTCCAAGTCCTGGGGGAGGTGGGGACCATTCCCGTCTGGCCGCTGCACGCTGAGGGGGCAGTGGGGGGAGCATTTGCAGCCCAGAAAGCTCAGGCCCAGCTGCTGCTCCCCCTGCCCCCCAGCCGGAGGGACCTTGAGTCTGCATGGCTGTGGAGGAGCGAGTGCAGATGGAAAACAGTCAACATGCAACTTTTGTTTCTTGTCCCCAGAGGGAAAAGGGGGAAGGAGAGGGCTACTTTAGGTGGCCACCTCCTGCCTCTTCCCTCCAGCTCTAACCCTGACCATGCCAGGGGCCAGGCTCAGCCGGTGACAGCAGGGCAGGAACACTGAGACCGTCCTACAAGCCAGCCTCCTTGACAAAGGCCCTTTCTGGGCCACACAGCTCTGCAAGGCTGTCCCAACTCCCTTCCCTCTGCCACACAGTCAGTCTGCACAGCACAGCCTCGGATAGCTCAGCGCCTCTCCCTGCAGTTCTTACCTCTCACTCCTGCCTACTGCCTCAGGTCGTCCACTTCCAGGAGAACCCGGATCCACTTCAGCTGGGTACCCAGATCAGTGCGGTGTCCACGCGGAAGAACAAGTGCAGAGCTCTGTGGAGCCTGCATCTGCAGAGCTCTTCTGGGAAAGGCCTCCTGGACTGCAGCCCTCTGGTGCAGGGGCTCAAAGCCAAGGGCAGGCTGCTCCTCACCTCACCTCTCTTGGCATCATGAAAACTACCAAATGTGTAGGACATTTGGCTTTTCTTCCCCTGTTGCATCCACATGGTTGTGAGCATTTATGAAAAAATAAGTGAAGCCCGTGGGAGAAGAGTTGCAGCTCAGCATTCTGAGGCTGGGACTATCTTCTCTTTCCCTCTACTCAGTACTCCAGCTTGGACCCAGGAAGATTGTTAGGCGTTCAAGTAGTTGATCTTTGCTGAATAAATAAAACATACTTATATCACACCCAGGTCCAACTGTATTCAGGCTTCATACTTCTGATCTGAATCTGAAAAAGAGTTGTTTTAAAAATTCTCAAATATTATGGATTGTTTTAACATATTTTGGGAAGTTTCCAAATAATTGCTTTTAAAAAGTAGGTGACAGAGAGAGACAAAGTCTCTCCCACACACACACCAACACACAAAAAGAAACTATTTTTCCATCTCAAGTGCAAAAGGGCTAGAGTGGACAGTGGAGGGAAGCAGGGGCTGGGGTGAGCAGCCGGCCTGCCGCAGCCTGTCTCCACTGCCTGGGGCCTCCTTAAAGCTGTAAGAACTGGTTCCTGTCCTCGGAACTGCCTGGTCTACAAGGAGAGTTCCACATGAAGTGGGGTCCTCCCTGCATCTGCTCTGAGCGGGTTGGTCCTGCTGGTGGGACCTGGACGTCATCGTGGACCCGTTACTCCATAAGCGTGCACTGAGGCACTGCCGTGTGCTGAGCCCGGGATGCCTGGTGCTGGAGGCGGCAGTCCCTGGCTGGGACACACCTCGGGCGCTCGTCTAGCCCATGGAGCCCTCGGCTTGATTCCAAACACTGAAGAAAGCTGTCCTTTCCCTCAGAAGAATTTTCAGTCTAGAAGAGACTTTACCATACTGTACACAGTACAAGGTTTGACAGAAGAGAATGACCAAAAGAGATTACTGGGGGCCGGGGAGATGGCTCAGTACAATAAGCGCTTCCCTGGAAAATGCAAGGGCCGGAGTTCAATTCCTGGTTCCGGAAAAAAAAAAAAAAAAAAAAAAAAAGAGTGAGATTACTGCAGTAGCTTCAAATATAGAGACATTCCCCAATCCCACGCAAGGCCTGAGCATAGTTTGAGGCCCTGGAAGGTTCTGAGGTTCTAGGAATGCACACGTGTGAGCCTGTGTCTATGGGCTGAGAGTGGAGGGCTGAAAATGATTTCTCGTGTGTGTCCCCACTCTGTATGGGAGGCTGGGACGTGTTTCAGTGGCAGAGCACATGCTTCATAGACCTTTCTCCCATCCAAGTACTAACCAGGCCTGACCCTGCTCAGCTTCCGAAATCAGAGGAGATCGGGCGTGTTCACGGTGGTATGCTGGAGGACTTCATAGACCTTTCGCTCAAGTCTCAGGCACTTGCATGCACGCATGTACACGCACACGTGTGCACACACACACAGGAATGCTTGTGGGCTAGCCAAGGTTTGCTACATGCTTGTCTGTTGTTGTTTGCCTTTTGGGACGGCATGTGGCAGGCTGGGCTGGTGGTGCACCCCTGTAATCCCAGCACTTAAGATGCTGAGGCGGGAAGAAGGTTAGGAGTTGAAGACCAGCCTGGGCTACAAAGTGAGCCCAAGGCCAGCCTGAACTGCATGATAGTGTGATCCTGTCTCAAAAAGAACACACACACACACACACACACACACACACACACACACACGGATATCAATACAGAGGCAGGGCATGGAACCCCAGCAGTGACCTGTGGCAAGTGTCAACTGTCCAGTGTGGTTGGTCAGGTGTAGCTGCAGTGAGGAGAAGGTGTGTTTTAAAGTGTGCTGTACGTCTTTGATCCCCAGCACCACTTGCCTCGCTGGCCCCACCCTGCCCCCACACCCGTGAACCCAGCCGGGGGAGGCTGAAAACAGAAGGATCACTATGAGTCCAAGCTGGGTAGTGAGACCCTGAACCAAAAACATTTTTAAAAAGTGTTCCCTAAATCAAAATGATGTATTGATGCAAGATTGTGCCAGTCCTGCTGCAGATGCGAGATCGTACCACTTCAGATCCCGGTTGCTGAGGAAATGCCATCAAAGGGGACGAAATGTGGGTTGTTTAGGGTCTTGGCACCAAGGATCAGACTGCTCAGTGGAAATCGCTCGGTTCTCAGGCAAGAAGAGCACCCCACGACGACCGTCCTCAAGGCCCTGGCGACTGTGGCTTTGGCCCTGATGGAATCATGCAGGCTGAGCAGCCTCCAGGAGCGCATGGTGCACTCCAGGTAGCACAAGGGCCGCCTGCAGCCTCTAAGCCTCTAGAACTTGCATGCCTCAC